CCGCTGCTCCCCTCAGCAGTGTACTTCCTTGATCTGTCTGTTCTGCTCCCCACTCTGTCTCTGGTGAAGCCTCTCGCCGCCCCTGCACCTCTGGCCTGTACCCCAGTTCTGTATGCATAAATAAATAAATCTTTAAAAAAAATAAAATGTAAAAATGCTAGCACATAAATAGCATCTGCTAGAACCTCTTTGTTTTTTATCCAGGAAGCTGAAGACCAAGGACTGATAACATCTCTCCAAGATCACTCAACTAGTTAGGTCAAGCAGTGAAAGACTTAACCAGAATCTGAGTTTAGTTGATCTCTTGAATATTTACTTCTTGAAGTCTTTCTGCTATAACTACTTCGCAGTTATTTATGGGATGATTATTAGGTCTGTGAGTTACCGAGTTCCTTCTTTTCTCCCTTTATGTTAAATTGCTTATTATCACCTACACCATTAGAGTGAGCCAAGAAAACAGTCAAATGTTTCACCTGAACAATTAGTGACCTACCTGCTACCATGCATTTAAAAGACCCCAGCTTTTGAATAAAAAATAATTTGGGGAGCTCTAGACAATAATAAGTTAATCAGGTAAAAGTTTCCACATTCGAAACTTACATTGAAGAAGTCAGCTTCAGCACCTAATTCTTTTGTTGACAATAATTCTGTCTTTCTCTCAGGAAAGACATAGATGAGAAAGTCTTTTTAAATGAATTTGCTTAGTTACTCCCCTTCCTCAAGGAAGTAAAAAATCAAAAGGGCAGCCAACTTTTGAAAAAGAAATATCACTTATCTCTTATATTTGGAGAGAGAAATAGAGAGAACTAAACAGAGGTAGCAAATTGAGAAAACCTAACACTTCTCCTGTAATTCCTGAATGTTGTGTTTCCAACATATCGCCGTTATTTAGTCTAGAACACTGGCCTCCAGGTTCAAGACAGTGTTAGCAAATAGTACTGCAAAGCACATAAATTATTTTTGAGCTGCTACAATACTGCCTTGTTCCATTATAGTGGAAGGCAGAGTTGTGTTTGTGAATTTTATTTAACCCCTGTTTCCTGAAACATGGCAAAAATGAACAAGCTATACAGGGATTCTTCAGGTTGTACTTTTTCTTTACACAATTTCTTCTATTTCTAGTTATGTTGCATGGAAGTGAGTACAGTATCCAAAGGCTTTTTCCTTTTACCTCTTTCCTTTTGCACATAAACAAATCACTCATCCTCTAGCTCAGTTTGCTCTTCTGTAAGGTGTGAATAATTATACTGCCTCCTTCAGAGGGTTGACTACGTTAACATATACATGTTAGACATTCTTAGCAACAGTACTACGGCCAAGATAGAGTCCAAAGCCAGCACGAGATGTAACTATTTATCTCTGGATAATAAAATTTCCATTCAGAGTTCTAGAGTACTCTGGACCCCACCTAATGCCCAAAGGTAGATGGATGGGGAACTTTGCTCAAGACTCCAGACAGTCCCCCAACCATGGCTTGCTTTTTACCTCACCCCTAGATTTCATGGCTCACCTGGAGGCACAGGAATGAGAATGATTATGGGGTGGGAATTGTTGCTTTTCATGGGACTTTCTTCCCTTCGATTTACAATGAAAAGAACAGAAACCGTCTCTAGTAGCTTTAGTGATGCTTGACTTTGACACTAAGTATGACAAAATGGGAGGTAGAATAAGGGATGAGAGACTAGAAAATATCTTGCTCATTATCAACAAAAAATTATGTAGAGTAGTCCAAAAAGATGAAGGAATCAACAATTTGCTCTTATATACATGTATATCTGCATCATTTAAAAACCAGTAAGTCAGTGAAAAAGTGTTTAATCTCATGTAAATAAAAAGAATATGAGGAGGTAAGTTCTGTCATGTTACTGACAGAAAGATAAATTGGTACAACTTTTTAAGAAAGCAAATTGGCGACGTTGCCCATATCCTAAACAATATACTTATCTTTTCACTAATTTTGCTTTTGGAAGTCTGTCCCCAAGAAAGAAAGCTTTTATAATTGGAGGCAAGGAAAGTGTCCTCTTGTGTTTCAACCTAAATACTTCAACTTTAAGAAACAAATTGGTGGAGTGCTACAAAGAGGAACAAAACTAGAAAGATGTGCCAAAAAGTTTGTCTCTAGTGAAATTTTATGAGTAATCTTTTTTCTACTTAATCTTTCTGGCCATATATTCCATAAATCATGTGTATTTTCTAAGCATAGAAAGAAAAATACAAATAATTTAAAATGTTGGAAAGTTCTGCCCAACTCACCAAAGGCCCTTCACATCTTACTGGCGCAAATGTGCTCACACGGCTTCAGGGGGGGAGAAAGAGTGACAGTGCAGTATCATTAAAATCAAGTAAGAAGAAAAGTACACAGGAAAGAAAAGTCTGTTGACAAGAAAACAGGAGAACACATGAAAATAGCCTGTTTGCACCAGAACCCACTGTGAACATTGTCACGATAGATGGTGAAGACAAGACTGGTCCACATGGCAGTGCACCTCACACTTCCTATCATTGCCTACCATTGCCCTCTCCACTCTTGACACTGCTGCCTAGAGGCATCCAGGCAAAGGAGCGAGGAACCAGCTCCTTCTGGAATATTCTACCCAACAGAGTGACACGGAGCTCTCATCTCCAGAATAGAGTATTTGGTCTCCACCTACCAGTTGGCCCTGCTGTAGTAGCTGTGAAGAGCCTTGCTCTACAAGTCATGAGTGGGGACATGTCTAGATGAACCGTGTGTTCCCCGAGCCATCCAGCAGGTGCTCTCTAATGCAGACCATGTTGTGCAGGAAGCAATGGCTGCTGTTTTAATGCATGATGATAACGATCAAGCTTTTCTTTTCCTGAGACCTCAGGAAGTGTTGGTAAACTATTTATCCAGTTGAGTCACATGATTTCAGTGTGTCAGTGTTTATTATAGAGGCTCATTCTAATTGTTATAGTTAAGGGCCTTGTTCTCCTTTCTCCTTAGGGTGCCTTGTAACCCCCTTCTCTACCTCCAAGTATAACTGTTGCTCTGCTAATTTAGTATAGTCTTAGCTACTGGGTACTGTTCTGAAAGATGGATGGATTTCATTCTGTCTTTAAATATTTATGCTTCTTTATGATCTAATATATCATCATGGTTATGGGGCATGTTTCTCTCCCTAACTATAAAAAATACACCATCAGTTAACTGTCAATTTTGTTTAATGACTCAGCTTTGCAATTCTGGGGCACTATCCATCTGAGGCACTTGAGGACTCTTTTAGTCTCTCAGTTCATTTCAGAATGTTATTCTGCGATTCACAAAGGGTCTGCACTGTACAGAGGACACTGAAACATTGAGGGGACTTAAATGGTGTGCCCTTTATCTCTCTCACACTGAAGGATCCCAGGCTAGAAATCCTGGCATCTTTGTTTTGTCATTTGCTCCCAGCATGGAACAGCAGTCTGCAGAAAATCAGCCAGCAGCCATGGAAACAATTCATCAGATTTTTCAAAAGAAATCCAATTTCTTCTGGTCTGATGAGTTCACTGCTACTTCCTAAGATAAATGAAGAAAATATCAACATCATAATGGAAAGAAACTCAATTCTACCAGTTTAATCTCAGTGAAAAGCATTACAGCCCACTTACTGCTGTGCTCTCCTTTGCCTCTGCTCTTAGGCCTTTGGCTCAAATTGCTAAGAATGGCTCTGAAATCATTCCCACATCAGACTCTGGCCTAGAGCTCTATCCAGCTCAGTCAGAATCTTTGGGAATCACACTGTCTGAGAGTGGGGCCTCCAGAGTCCATGTCACAAGGTCCTCAAGCCAGCCACATCTTGAGAAGTCTCTTCTAGCTAGCTTTCTAGCTGATAAGAATCATGAACCCCAAATTCTTCTTCCATTTGGTAAATCTAGATTTGTCTTGGTGTTCTTTCTGAGCAATTTTAAAGATGACTTCTTAGGTAACTAAATAGCTTTCTCCCTGACCTGTGTATCTGTGAAGCAGAATTAGATGATGAAGGCCTCGTTTCTCAAATCAGGGGCTGGGGCCAGGGAGGAAGTCCAGGGGCACCAGGGGACCAGTGAAGCTGGAAGAAAAACAGGAGGCCTCTTCTTACAGTAGCCTCAAGTTTTTCTTCCAAACAGTATTTCAAAATTGCAACGTTGTTGATTCTTGTCAGTGTCTGTGAAGGAAGACACCTGCTTCATACCTGGCACAACCACTCACTGTCTTTGAGACACTGAGTTGTCCTCTCACTTCTCCATGCTGCAGGTTCTTTGCCTGAGAACAGGGAGCTGTAGTTCCCTAGGAGTGGTGAGGCAGACATGATGTGGAAGTTAGCTTCGTCAACAGAAGCATAACCATCATTTCACTGCTTCTCATGGCCTTTCCTCATTGTTGCTAAGCTACTGGAGGAAAAGAGCTGTGCTTTGTGTACCACCATATGCTACTATTACTATTATTATGATATAATAATATTATTATATTATTATTATGAATGCATCATCATTATTATTATATTTCTAATAGTAGTTATGGAGCATGCAGAATTGGACCAGGCACCATTCTAATGTTTTCATATAGATGAATTAGGTCTTCCACTAACCCTAAGAGGAGCGTGCTATTAATCCTCTGTTACAGAGCCTCCTGTGAGGGAGTGAATGGATGAGGCAGTGCTTCCATGATTATTTCTCTCACTTCTGAATCTGTATCTCAACTTCTTCCTTTTGGCTCACCTGAGAAAAATGCAGAATTAGAAGAACATATTGCATGAACTGAGACTTTGAAGATGTGAGGTTGCCTGGGTCTTCATACAGACTTGTCCTTATGAAAAGAGCCCCAGGGAACTCCAGAGAGACACAGAACATGTATGACTTGCTCTCCATAAAATTCATGGGGCCTGTAAACAAGATGTAGTGATCAGCAAAGCCCTACCACCTAAGCTGAGTCATGCATAAGCCACCTGTTCCTCCCCACTAAAACCACATTGATTGCCAACGAGGGAGACTATGAGCAGTGCTCTCTCTTGCTTTTGCAGGCAGTACTACGAGATGTTGTACAACACAGCCGATGAGCTCCTGAACCTGGTGGTGGACCAGGGCGTAAAGTACACGGAGCTGGAGTATATCCATGCCCTGACCTTGCTGCACCGCAGTCAGACGGGCGTGGGAGACCAGACCACCCAGAACACAAGGCTGCAGCGACTCAAGGAGATCATCTGCGAGCAGGCTGCCATCAAGCAGGCCACCAAGGACAAGAAAATCACCACGGTTTAATGGGGTGCATTTCTGGGAGGGGGGTCTGGGGGGAGAAACTGGCTGCTTGTGTTTTCTTATTCACACTCCTTTCTTTGATCTGTTTGGTATATTCTACACTGATTTAGTTTTCTCTACAGTGATACTTTAGTGGAGAGAAGTTATAAGGATTTTTTTTTTCTCTGTAGTTTTGGCTTTTCATATCAATTGTCAAGAGAGTTTTTAGTACATTAGCTTTGGGTTTGGCAACTACTTTAACGTAGTCAGTGCCAAAGGGACTTGGGTGGGGTGGGAGGTAATGTCAAGTTGTTAGACTGAACAAATGAATGCATGCATTACTAACACGTTCTTTCTTACCCAACAATCTCTGGAAAGTAAAATACTACCCGAGATCTACTCCCAACCTAAAATCACAACTACATAAGCAGTAAGATTTGTATTCTCTTGGCCTTGTGGGTTACAATTCAACGAAATGTATGTGCATTGCTTTCTGTGTAGCCGAGGTCAAACAATGACTTCTCCACTGGCTGTAGTTTTCAACAACTTCCCTAACCAAAACAGGCCCTCTTCAGGACCGGGGGCAAAGACCACTTATCTCAATTGAGCTACCTGCTGTAACTCATACATAGAATACAGGTTTTTGTTATTTTCACTGTATCTCAAAAAACTGCCAGCAGATGAATGACAAAAATGGGAGAATGAATGATGATTCAACCCTCTTCTTGAATTTCTCCCCTCTGCTCTCCAAGAGAAAACGGTGACAGAGCAGAGCACTTTGCAACGTATCGGCAACACTGGACACGAATGAGTCTTAGATGCTCCCTTAGTGTCTTTATGAACCCCCAAGTATTGCTCACCTTGGAAAGCAGCCCTGGTCTGCTCCCCTGAATGGGCAGACCATGGGACAGCCACGTGTCCCTCGTGCATGAGTCCACACAGAGCCCATCCCTCCATGCTGCTCTCTGTGGCATGAGCAGTCCATGGCTGGTCACTGCCCGCACCACTCTCTCCCGCTTTCCAAGCGCTCTTGCTGCCCATGGGTGGTAGTCACAGGAAGAAACTATGTGCTGATGTGGACATATTTGGAAAGGAGAGCAGAAGGACTTTGACCACACATGGTCATGCCTCGCGCTGTGAAGGTCCAAAATTATATGCCTGTTTGTGCAAATTTGGTCTTGGTGGAAAAGAGCAGAACATTAAATGAAAATTAAATAAATGTTTTGAGAAGCTTAAATATGGTGTCTTGGTTTGGATTTTGGGTTTGTTTGTTTGTTTGTATTCTTTGTTTAGCAGGCACCCCTCAGGCCAAATATGTGCCAGATGCTGCTCAGGATAGGGGCAGATACTGGACAACAAAGGATAACCTTATCGACCATCAAGAGAAAGGTTGAGAACTGGAGTCCAAACCAAAATCCCACATGTACACTCAGGGCTGAGTTAGAAATCAGGCTAGATAGCTGGGCAGCTGTAAAAGGAATCAGCAAAGCTGGAGGATGGTCTTCCAGGGTGTTCTGGAAGGAATGTTGTAAATCTGCATGGCCAGATTAGGAGGAAGTTGAATTTACACACGAGATGCAAGGAAAATGGTAGACAACTGATTAGACATTGTCTCCGAGAAGTGGGGGAGAGAGATGAAGAACCATCAGAGATGATCACTGCGGTTTAGGACCCTCTTCCTAGCGCAGCTTCTTTTTCCCTTCCTGCCCACTGTAGGACAAGACCTCCAGAGCATTGACAGTGATGCCAGAAGAGCCGAGGGAGAGACTAGAGAGTGACTTAGGTGTCATGTTGGATGGAGACCGGGACAGCCTCAGTCAAGAGCAATGAGAACTGGCAGCAAAATGGCAGATGTGCTGGTTCTGGGGCAGCCTTCAGGAAAGTGGATTCCCTACATTGCTTAAATAATGATAAGATTGAAAAATGTCAATTCTACACCCAAAAAGCAATGTGTAGGGCGCTTTCTCCAAGACATTCAGACTTAAGTTTCTTTGGAGGATGGCCCATCTGTCTTTACTCTTCATTAGGTCAAGAATAGCCAAAGTCACGTCCAGTGCTTATTGAAGGGCCGCTGACAGAGAAGGCCTGTCCACCTCCAAGCCTGCCCTCTCTTGGGATACATGAAGATTTCTACTGTTGTGAGCTGTTCTGGATCTGCTTTAAGATATTGTGTGAGACTGTCTTTGTGCTGTTCACACCATGACCAGAAAGTGCTAGAGAGAACCAGGGGAGCCAAAGACAGGGCCCAGTGAACACACATAGATCCGGAAACAGTTTTTCACTATGAAAGCTACTCCCGATAGTGCTGTTAGAACTAAAAATGCCAACAAAATAGGCCTTCCAGAAAGGACACTGAAAACAAAATATTATCTTGTTCTTCTACCACAGAGAAGACAGGATGGGCAAGAGTGGACTTCTGTTAACAGCAGCAGGTCCAGCGCCTTGCAGAAGGTTCATAGGGAAGCCTCCTGACAACAAACCCGACCATGAGGTAGGAGGGCTGTGAGGAGACCCCGTCTAGCTGGTCATCAAAGCGTTAGCGCCACAAGCAATAGCACAGAGACAAAATAGGCCTCTTCGTCACTGTCATCTACACCATAGGACTTAACATGTCAGTCAGCCCATTTTATCCTCAAAGTAGCCACGTTATAGATGCTGCATTAATCCTTCATTCCTAAGGGATCAGCACATGCTAAAGAAGATTCTTCCCCTTTCAGTCTCCTTTAGGGAAAATGCCTCGAAAAGCAGCACCATACTCAAAGTATGGGTTCTACTTTCTGGTAGATGTTGCCAAATTGTGTCCTCAGAATCACAACAGCGATGGCTACTTCTCTATTCTTTTGTTATTGTGATAACTTTGCACCTATCATTCAACCTCTTAATTTAATAAACTACTTTTTGGATATGGTGCCCTTCACCCCATGAGTTTCGTTTATGTTTGTGCCATTAATATCATTTCAGGGGATTTCACCTCATGCTATGGTCTTTATTCCTACCACACAATGATTATTTTTATATATTAATCTTATTGCCCAGTTGGAGCTTCTATCTCTCACATCTGATTATCTCTCTGTCGGTTAGATAGAGATGGCCCCTCAGGCTACCCAAAGAGGACCTCTTTGTCTGGGCCTTATGAGACGAGTTCATTTTTGAGTGGGCAGATTCAGCTCTGAGGCAGTGCTAGGACTGGTCTGTGCTTTCATACCCTGAATAACCAGTCATGAAGAGTCTTGGGGGGGGTGAGAGGACACCCCCCACCTGAAATGGCTGCCCTTTGCTGAGGGAGCTAATTCACAGCCCCTCTCTAGCACTGAATGTTTTCTCAGGCTGACTGTTATTAATGCATGTTTCAAAGAACTTGATAGAAAAGCTCAAATACAGCCAAGTTGAATTGGCACCAGACCCTGGCTGTTCTGTCAAGTCACATCCATGACTGTCTTAATGCTAAAGTGCCCACCTGTGCCTGTTACCGCATAGGTGACATGGACTTCTTAGAGTGGTGAGCAAAGAGTCCCTGGGACAAGGAACTGATCTTTCACTTATGACCGTGTCATCACCCACTCCATATTCCCTCACCAAGCCCCGCCTCCTCTTTGGAGACATCTTACAGTACAGGAATGACCCTCTGCTGCTCTCTCCTGAGCTACCACTGGAGACACAAGACTTCCCTGGGGAGCAGCGGGCCTGGAAGTTCATCATCCTTCATCACACCAACGAGCAAATGGATTTCCACCACTTCCAAGCGTGCCGAATGCACCAAAGCCATTGCACTCAGGATTGCTGCTCAGAGGCTGGGCTGTGTCTGCCTCCCCAGAGCCATGGCACAGAAACTTCCTGATAAAGATCAGGGGGTGACCAACACTCAGTCAGCCCCAACTAGACTCAGTCTCTTCAGGGCAAATGTGCTGAGAAGACAGGAAGACTACTGTTCTAGCAGGCTAAGAAAACAAGGTGTGGGCCCTCCCTGGTGGAGCAGTGGGTTAAAGCTCAGCACTGCAAGCTGGCCATGGCCACTTTAGTGCCAGTTCAATCCCCAGCCCCAGAGGTGATCCACATGGCACGGCAGACTTCTCCTGACCCGCTCGCTGCTCCCCTCATCAGTGTACTTCAGTACCTCTCCCTATTCTGCTCCCCACTCTGTCTCTGGTGAATCCTCTCACCCTCTGGACCTGGCCTGTACCCCAGTTCTGTATGCATAAATAAATAAATCTTTAAAAAAGAAAACAAAGTGTGTCCTGATCAAGATTTTTCGTGAAAAGCAAAGCATGTGCTGAAATACACACACCTGAGAGCAACTGTCCCAGCATGGCAGGGATGGAGGCAGATGGGACAGTTTGGAGGGAGGGTAATGAGGTACCAAGAACACAAACACAAAGAATGGCTGGGCTCAGCAAAGGTCTCGACTCTGTCCTAATTAGGCACAGTTATTATAAGAAGAACATAATTAATAAGCTTGTGACCAGATGTGAGCTACAGCGGAGTCTTTTCCTGAAATGGAAGTGGTAATGAAGTCTACACAGCTGGAAGCAGTTGTCCTCACTGGGCTGAGGCAGGAGGCCTGCCTGGAATTTTGAAGAGGTGTAGTAAGAGGCTCACCACAGGTTTACACCTGAAAACAACTAATCCTCCTCCAACTGGGCTGGGTGTAATGAGATATGGCTAATTATCAAGAGTGTAATGAGATGCAAAAGCCCCTGGAATGGAGCTAGAAATTTCTCTAAAAGTGAACTAAGATTCAAACACCAGAGAAGAATTTCCGCTAATGGCACTAGGTGTGAGAGTGATGAAATGTGCATGGTTTGAGGAGTTGCTTTTGCATACCTGGCCGGAAGACTTATGTCTGCAATTAAAAATATTGCCAGCACATTCACACACCTGGAGCAGGAGCCCCTGGGAAGCCGAGAATGCAGTGACCCATGGGGGCTACACGTGTGTTTTTTAATGCATGTAGATGTGCTTATGTATGTACCTCCAGCTGGGGGGGAAATGAGGCTAGGTGCTGCTGTGAGTGTGGTTACCTTCACACTCCGTCCCACTTAGAAATGTGGGCTCAGATTTCTGCTGAATTTGCAACAGATACCCTAAGAGGAGCGAAATTGGCCAACTCCTCATCCCAAACTTACTTAATTACCTACCAGGTGAGTTGTTTTGCACAAGGATTTATTTGCTGGGAGAGACCAGGAAACCATTAGCAAGGTTTTTTTGTGATGGTTTTTATTTTATGTTTGCTATTATGTTACTCTACCCACCATTATTGAGCACTTAATATAAATGAGATGCTGTGCTGAATGCTTTACCTCATGATTCCATTTAATCCTCACAGTGACCTTAAGAGGTGGACACTATCCATCCTTATTTCAAAGAAGTCTCAGGCTCAGATGAAAGACTTGGTCTCAGACAGATGCCAGCACCAGAGTTGGTGCTTGGAGTCCCTCTGTTCTGTTCTGAGCCAACCGCTCATCCCGCATGACAAAGGAAGGGACCCCCTGCACCCTACATTTAGCTCCTAGTGGCAGATCAACCCTTCCCATCTGCTCAGTCCTTCCTGTGGGCCCCAGAGGGAGTCACTCCCTGAATGAGTTTGGGCTGCCATTCCCAGGCTCCTCTGCTCCTCCTCGGCCCCCTGCCGCCTGAGTCCCCCTGTGGCCAATGTATCTGCATACCTTTTGGACACAAAAATCTCTGCGCCCAGGGCCTGAGCCCTGCCAGCTGAAGGACTTGTACCTGGGCCAAAGACTGGAGACCCAGAGGGTGGGGCAGAATGCTCAGGTTTTGACCCTGCTGTACGTTGGCTCCAAGCAGCTCAGCCTTTTCCAAATGTTTTGATATTGCACATGTTACTAAGTGCCAAGAGCCTTGACTTTTCTCATCTGTGACATGGGAGAATACTAGTTCCTCTCCGACAGTGTTGCTGTATGAAGTAAAACGGGTTCAGTGCCTGGCACATTATGATACTTAATAATTAATACTATTTTCTGTTGCTTTGAGGATCTGTGGAACCAATATTTACAAAGCATTTCCTCTTGCTGTGGCCTAAGAGCACGGCCAGCCTGACCAGGACCTGCCTTCAGTGAGGCCTCCATGGTGCCAGGTGAGGCTGGGCACAGCTGCTTGCTATGTGGGCACCTGATCTCCCCAGGCAACAGCAGGTCCTGGTATCGCTCTCCACTGCACTCCCTCCCGCATTCCCGGCCTGGGTCTAGCGCCTCACACCTGCTTCCTCTTTCACTA